AAATAAATATAAAATGTAAAAATAATACTGTATATCAAAATACACTTACAATAAAATTATATATATCTGTATATATAAATAAAAATAATATGAAATATACATATGTCCATATAGATAATTACATAATTTCATAAACATACACATACATACACATATATATATTTAAATTCTATGTGCATATTTATGTAATATTTTTACATAATTAAGAAATTTTATTGATTGCAATTTGAGGGACCAGAGTCCAGAGAATTTAATTTGCTAGCACTATATTTAACCCTGTAACTTTCCAAGACACCCTAAAACCTGTACATGGGGGGGGTACTGTTTTACTCGGTAGACTTCGCTGAACACAAATATTAGTGTTTCAAAACAGTAAAACACATCACAGAGATGATATTGTCAGTGAAAGTGCCATTTTTTTTGCATTTGTCACACACAAACGGCACTTTCACTGATATTGTTGTAATACATTTTACGGTTTTGAAACACTCATATTTGTGTTCAGCGAAGCCGCCCGAGTATAACAGTAGCCCCCATGTGCAGGTTTTATAGTGGTTTTTGAAAATTCACAGGTTTAAATATAAGGCCGATTTTTAACATTGAAATTTGCCAGATTGGTTATGTTGCCATTGAGAGCGTATGGTAGCCCAGGAATGAGAGTTACCCCCATGGCATACCATTGAAAGAAGACCCAAAGTATTGCAAATGGGGTATGTTCAGTCTTTTTTTCGTAGCCACTTCGTCACAAACACTGGCCAAAGTTAGCATTTATATTAGTTTGTGTGTTAGAAATGCAAAAAACTATTTTAATTGATTTAATTACCTTTTAGTTTTTTGATTTTGTTAAATAACATTAATGACATTATTTATGGTTTTTCAGGGTTTTTTTAGGATGGTTTGGAAGCGTTTATTGCATCAGTATATCCGATATTGCACAAACAAAGGCTGCCATCTTTCACACTGGCCAACTGCCACTCCAGAAGTTGTAATTGATGTGCTTCTGACAGTAACACATGTATATTCATGTGTGTATTAGTTATTTATAATTATGCCTATAATAGTTACACATATGTTAATATACATGTATATACGCATAACACAAATTTCATGAATATATAACATACAGTCATGAGATACCAGGATGACGTATAATCCTGGCAGCTGGCTCAATGCAGGGCGCACGAGGGAGCTGTGCATGAGGAGCACATTATAGAAGGGGCTCCCTCGCAGGCTAGCAGCACGGACAGCAACCGGGCACACTTCTAGCGGTCCTGGGCCGTATGTGGCCTGTAGGCCACGGGTTTGATACACCGGCCCTAAGCCCTTGTTTTTTTTTCGAATGAAATTCTTCTTTGATGTGTAGCACACTGCAGGCATTCATTATAGAATGTGGAGCATTCAGCAAGCAAAATGCTTGCTTCTGTGTAGATGAATCAGAAAACTAGTTCTATTGTTGCATATCTTACCTAAAACTAGCTTTGTGTTTCAGCAGATCAAGACATAGCCTTCATGTCAACTTTGATTGATCAATTTAGTAATATTAAAAGTTAAAGGACCACTATCGTGCCAGGAAAACATACTCGTTTTCCTGGCACTATAGTGCCCTTAGGGTGCCCCCACCCTCAGGGACCCCCTCCCGCCCGGCTCTGGAAACGGGAAAGGGGTTAAAACTTACCTTTCTCCAGCGCTGGGAGGAGAGCTCTCCTCCTCCGATCCTCCTCTTCTCCTCCCCGTCGGCTGAATGCGCACGCGCGGCAAGAGCTGCGCGCGCATTCAGCCGGTCACATAGGAAAAGCATTCATAATGCTTTCCTATAGACGCTGGCGGCTCTCACTGTGATTTTCACAGTGAGAAGCACGCAAGCGCCTCTAGTGGCTGTCAATGAGACAGCCACTAGAGGAAATAGGGGAAGGCTTAACCCATTGATAAACATAGCAGTTTCTCTGAAACTGCTATGTTTATGAAAAAATGGGTTAAACCTAGCTGGACCAGGCACCCAGACCACTTCATTAAGCTGAAGTGGTCTGGGTGCCTAGAGTGGTCCTTTAAGCACTTTAGCTTAATGTAGTGATTTTTGTGCATAGAACCTGTTTCTTTTGTCTGCCATTTCACTAAAATGTTTACATTTGCACGAGCAGAAATAATTTTTAAAGGCACTTCTGCATCATTATCACCCCGGACTTACCTTTCTCCTATTGTTTCCTCTTCCTCTCAGAATCTGTTCTTTTCATTATTGCTGATCTAGTTTTCATTAAAACATAAGATAAAGTATGGAATACTTTGTTTTATGTATTTTTCCTACGCTTGACTCTCTTTGATCAAAGGAGAAGCTTAAGTCCGCTCAATTTCCTGTGTCAGGAGGAGGGTGAGTATTGTGAAAAATCTTTCTCTGACACAGGAAATGGAGCTGACTTAAAGGACCACTATAGTGCCCGCAGGGTGCCCCCACCCTCAGTGTCCCACTCCCGCCTGGCTGAAGGTGGAGTAAGGGGGTTAAACACTCACCTTTCTCCAGCGCCAGGCTCCCTCGGCACTGGGGACTCTCCTCCTCCTTTGGTCATCATCGGCTGAATGCGCAAGAGCCGCGCGCGCATTCAGCCAGTCCATAGGAAGGAATTCTCAATGCTTTCCTATGGACGCTGAAAATCACAGTGAGAAGCGCGGAAGCGCCTCTAGCGGCTATCAATGAGACAGCCACTAGAGGCTGGATTAAGCCATAGGTAAACATAGCAGTTTCTGTGAAACTGCTATGTTTACTGCAGGCAGTGTTAATCCTAGATGGACCTGGCACCCAGACCACTTCATTAAGCTGAAGTGGTCTGGGTGCCTATAGTGGTCCTTTAAGCTCATTTTTTGTCAGTGAAAGTCAGGTGTAGGAAAAATACATAAGACAAAGTAATCCCTACCTACTTTGTCTTATAGCCCTACCTACTTTTCTTCTGAGAGAGGAGTTTCGCATGACAGTGCCGCCTTAAGACCTTAAAAAAAATATAAGGGTTTCATGTTTTCTGTCATCACGCACTGGATGCTTTTCTATGGGAAGGAATGGATTGGAGCATCACAACTGATGTTCTCAGCAGAAAATATTTAGTTATAATAGGGGGCCATGAATCTAAAGCAAATATTACAGTCATCGTCCCCCCTCCCCAGTGGCATAGTAAGTGGGGAAAGCGGGAGGTAGGAGGAGGACTGTCCGCCCTGGGTGCCACTGACCGGGGATTGCCAATTTCTGGCATATGGCGGATAGGTATCACAGGGTGACCGGCCGGAGGTAAAGTGATTTGGGGGTGAGCAAAATACAGGGTCGGTCCCGGGTCCCAAATGCTCTAGGTATGCCCCTTGTTCCCGCTCTCAGTACTGAACAGTAATAAATATAAAGCTTGTAATGCCTGGGGTATCCTTACAATACGTTTCAAATTTCTAATGCAAATAAATCAGCACCCTCCACTCTGGATGGCTGAAAGGAAAAAATAAATAAAAAAATAAGCCCTAACTGAGAGCCAAGTTATTTGTACGCCCTGCAGCTGTCCCTCCCTGTATTGTTACTGGCTGGATGTACAACCAGTAGATGTGTGAGGAACTGACTCTGCTGGGTTTCGAACCCTGGTTTACATGGTGCTAAACCTCTTCCTTACCAGTACACCAGCCTGCCTTTTGCCATTGCTTGTAGAGTCAAGGTTATCAGTGACAACTCTTCAGCTGTGTCTGGTCAGGTGTCTGGTTCTTGGCCTATAAAAGCCACTTCCTGTCTCTGTACCTTTGCCAGATTATTGTGGTTCCTGTACTCTCTAATCCAGCGTGTTCCTGTTTCTCCTTCCTGTTGCTGAATTTGGACTGTTTTTGACTTTGCTGCTTCTCCTTCCCACTGACCTCGGCTTGCCTCACTACGATTATCATCTTTCTGTTCCAGTCTCCCATCTCTGCTTAAGACCAGAAGGCCACTCAAGGCTCAGGGGCTCAACCACCTGGGTAACGAGTGGCTACCTCTGGCAGAAAACATTGCTGATCTGGCTACTGGACTCCAAAACTTTGTAACATCAATATCATTACAATATGTGGTACAGAGGAAACCACACAAACTTTCAAGATTTGCTCAGTGAGTCTTTACTTTGTCTATTGAACAAAGCAGACTAGTGACACAAGTAAAGTACCCTAGGCCGGTGGCGTCCAATTTAGGTTGGTCTTGATCCCCATTAGAATAGATCTGGGAAATGCTTCTATCCCAAACTATTGATATAAGAGCCTGGATATGATATTAAATTCAGGCTTTTTTTTGTAAAACCCAAGTGTCATGTGTTAATTCCAATATAATTAGTTTTTTTTCTTTAAATGCTCCCATACATACATATTGTACACAATTCACACATGTCCATGTTTAAGAGGAACAGTCACTATTTTGGGTCCAAATCCATCTGTCCATCTTTTCTATCCTTCTCTCTTCTCTACGAGCTCCATACTGTTTGTTTGTCTGTGAACTCCACAGCAATAATACTCATAGTAAACTACAATAAATGAGTCTGTGTAAATAGGAAACACACTGATAGTGTTCTAAATAACAGTTTAGTTAAATACATTATTATTTGTAAGTCACCTAAAATGTCTCAAGACAGTCCTGCCCTTGGTCATACCTTCACTCACACCACAAAAATTAAAGTGTTGCTCTTTTGTTCATTTAAAACTTTGGAAGGTATGTATTATACATTGATAGACAAGGGTTTCTTTAACATAAATAAATGATGATAAATGATTATATTTATAACCGTGCTCACATGTTCCATTCTGTCCTAACAGCGTTAAATCCCACTCTGTGGAGGACAGCATGAAACATCTTAATGTCAGGAATGGACTATTAGGATAGCACATGACAGCTATAATAACACTGAGACAATAAAACATTGTTCATATTTATTAAGACATATTTGTAGATATCAAAATTTAATTTTAAAATAATTTCTTGATATGTATTAACATAAACACATAAAAAAATTAACACATTAAATAAAATCTTCATACAAAAAAAATGTAAATCCACTTACTCAAAGATAGAAATATAATTGTACAGTAGTTAAAACTAGACTGAGTGGTCGATAAAGCATTTATAAAATCTATATTCACAATAAAAAATACAATTGTCTGGAAATATCTAAAACACTTTGTACAAAGAATTTTACATTAACAATGTTTACAACTGAAAAATATATACTATATATGCATAAAAATAGTATTTACTTTAAATGTAAGAGGTTACTGGCTCATCAAAGCACTTCCTTACCGCCAGTATCAATCAAGTAGGTCTGTGGTGTAGATTTTAAAGTGGCACTGTCACTAAAATGTACTTTAATCAATTGGAAAAAATATCTCTAATATTTTTACCGAAATCGTGGTTTTAACATGGAATTACTACTTCTCTGGAAGTTACACAATTAAACAAAACATTTAAAATGTAAAAAAAAAAAAAAAAAGAGGGTTAACGTGATTTTTATCCATATTTATACTAAATATTTGGAAAATCACATCATACTCCAGTTGTATCTAGACACACTGGAGGATGAGAAATACAAACATTGTTTCTTGTCTGTATGCTTTCTTTACACCGACTGAGTCAAGATGGAGGTACCTAGTTAAAGATAAAGAGGTGTGGGGATTCCTACATTTAATTTCATTTTCAGAACTCACAAATACATCATTATTAACTGGAGTGGATATGTTAAAATTCGGGGAAGTGCCAGTCCTCTTATAAATTTAGGTGTAATTCCCAGACCTGCCAGTTGTCAGTGTTGAGTTGGCTATCCTAGAATAGCATCTTACATTGGAGAACATCTGCATAGAGCTTGTGATGTCAGCAGCCAACCAGAATCAGATTTACCAAGTAGCTATTAGCAGGAAAGGAAGTGGAATATGGTGTTTGAACTTCAATTAAGAGAAGTGCCCACAATGTAACTAATAATAGCAAAGGTTAATGTGAAACTGTTTCTTAAATATTTATTAAGAAAACTACTATGCAGAATGGTCTGCACAAGATATAAATTGTTTTTAAAGTGCTGTATAAGTAGAACATTTCAATTGACAGTGCTACTTTAAGGTAACTTTAGGGTAACTATAGAACTAATTCAGTCTTGTCCACATGATATGTAGAATGTACTGAAATGCCCACAGATAATAACTATTCTGGTAATTGCTGAATGATCAAAATACTGTGATTCAGATTTTAATTGGACTTTAATAACCAGCAGATGGTCTTTGACCACATGATAAAATAAATGTCTTACCCGATTACATAGAGTTGCTTTAAAAATAAAATAAAAAATAAAAACTGTATTTGACCACTAAAAAGATTACTACTTCCTATGAGCCTTCTGCAATCCAAATATTGTGATGGATAATTTTTTTAATATTGTATAAATAACATTGCTGGCACTGGTCCCCCAAATAAATTATTAATTTTACGGAAGAAAACAAAATACATTTTACATTTGCTTGGGGTTATTTAAAGGATTACCATATCATTAAGTGCCGCAAATTCAAACTATGATTTTCCAAAATGGGGCACAGTGTTGTACATCTACTGCACATCACAAGAATACAAACACTTCTCCAAGTTCAACAATTAATACACTAATAAACCATTAGCAGCTTATTAATCTTGACAGCTCATTAAATTTCAAAATGCACATATCCAAGAACAATGCAAGCACATAGCATGTTAAAGAAACAGGTGATTAGCTGTATCTTTATCTCATGATAAGTGGGTTAGACCAAAGAGGCCAATATTATTATGGTTGCTCCAAGCACCATGACTTCTTTAGAGATTTTAAATGGTCATGGTGCTTTGAGTCTTCATGTGCAGCATTTCTCAGTAGAACACTGTACATACAGAGTGAAAGGACTTTGCTGCAAGAGGTATAACTTCATTAGCCAGCCTGACACGAGTTCTGGGTTGGCTAATGTTAATTCTGTTCATATTGGGCATCTGCCGTTAGCATGCATAATATGCTAGCACAGATGTCCACTGGTGACATGGCCCTCTGCGCATTCAAGTCATCTCCTTAACCCATCCTTGTGGACATCCCTCTTCTGCAGTAAGCGAGAGTGACATCACCAAAAGTGGAGCAAGCTACATGGAAAAAGTGGCCCAGCGTGGGATCGCAGGTAAGTTACACTTTTATTTCTTTCTCTATTTTTTTTTTTTATGGGACCATGCCAGCAAGGGTTACTTTAACTATAAACAGTGGTTTATTGAGTAAACTATGTATTGCATGTGAATTTACAGTACAGAATCTAATCAATGGCTATGCACTAAGTTCAAAAGACAGACACTGTTCTTGTGCTTATTTCAGGTCACATGTCAAATTACAGACATAGACCTGGCAGACACTTTCTTCTGTAGTGGGGAAAAAAACTTTGTTTGGAGTCCTGAAAATGACTCGATACATAAAAACCCAAGATCATGTACTTTGCCCATGCAGGAGGAACTGCTGAATGAATTCCTGACACTTCCTCTTGTCCGTGTTGCTGGGTTGTGTATGGGTAGGTGGGGGTCGAAGAAGTAGATTTCCAAATATACTTGCTAGGAGTAAAAAAAAGACATCTAGCATTATAATAAAGTGGTATACGCTAATTAGGTATTAGGTTATCCTTATTTACAATTTTATATAAATTTATATATTACAGTCATGGGAAAAATAAAGTACACATTGTTTGAATTCTTTAGTTTTACAGATCAGGACTTCTACATTTTGGCTTAATTTTGTTAAATAAATCATGACACGGTCAGGACCGGACTGGCCCACCGGGATACCTGGAAATCTCCCGGTAGGCAGCGGCACCTCGGGCCTGGTAGACAGCCCAAATCATGAGGCTAATGTCATTTAAAATTTTTGTCCCTCAGACTGTGCCAGCCTGTGTCAGTCCGAGGGGAGTAAAGAGGGAGGAGCTGAGGCTGGTGAGGCCACAATTAGGCTGCTGGCAGCCGGAGGGAGACTGGTCAGTTTACATAAATTTCAGCAGCATGCCCCGCCCCGGCATATAACTCCCACCTTCTGTACGGAAGTTCTGCCTACCACACACAAGCTCCGCCCCACACCTCGCTGGAAGAGGCCACAAAATGGCAACTTCACCTACCAGTGGCAGGTAAGCTTCAGCCATTACAGTGATAGGGGGTGTGAGCTTGTTTGTGTGTGTGTGTGTGCGCGCGCGCATGTGTCTGCTAATGAGTGAGCTTGTATGTGTGTGAGTGAGCTTATCTGTAGTGAGCATGTGTGTGTGCGCGTCAGTGAGCTTATCTGCAGTAAGCATGTGCGAGTGAGCTTTTCTGTAGGGAGCATGTGTGTGTCAATGAGCTTGTCTGTGGTGAGCATGTGTGTCAGTGAGCTTTTTTGGTAGAGAACATGTGTGTATCCAGTGAGCTTTTCTGTAGGGAGCATGTGTGTAGTGAGGCTGTGTGTCAGTTAGCTTGTCTGTAGTAAGCGCGTGTGTGTGTGTCAGTGAGTTTGTCTGTGGTGAGCATCTGTGTGTCAATGAGTTTTTCCTTAGTGAGCTTGTTTGTGTCAGTGAGCTTTTCTGTATGGATCGTGTGTGTCAGTGAGCTTGTCTGTAGTAAGTTTGTGCGTGTATACCAATAAGCTTGTCTGTGCGTGTCAGTGAGATTGTCTGTCAGTGAGCCAGGTCTTGAGAAAAGTCCAGTTGGACTGGAACGTCAACATTATTTGTTTATGAATATTTGCTGAATAAAAGCATCTTACCACTATTACGAGTCCTGTAAGTGATCTCCATGGAGGTATGAATATATAGATATACATACACGTGTGTTTATATATCATCTGAGGTGGTAAGACATAGCCTTACATATTACATGTGACAATACATGGCGCAATGACTTATGGGGCTGGCATAGATTTTTTTCCAGGGCTGCTTTGTATCCCCAGTCCGGCCCTGGACAAGTAATATGCCATGTGTAGTTGTTCATCTGAGGTTGCAGTTACCCAATTTTAAGACCTGCTACAGTACAGGTGATTGTGGATATGTCCTGATATGTAAAACGATTTTACTGGGGATACAAAGCAGCCCTGGAAAAAAAAATCTATGCCAGCCCCATAAGTCATTGCGCCATGTATTGTCACATGTAATATGTAAGGCTATGTCTTACCACCTCAGATGATATATAAACACACGTGTATGTATATCTATATATTCATACCTCCATGGAGATCACTTACAGGACTCGTACATATATACACACACACACACACACACACACTCATTCATGCAACACTATTCTTCAACAGTCTCAAGACATAAAATATTTACTTTTTGTTTTCTTTTTAAAGAGACACTGTAGGCATTACAATCACTTCCATTTATTTAAGTGGTTATGGTGCTTTAGATCCATGGGCACATCACTGCTAAATGGTATACTCACAGCTTAGCAGAGAAGCTCGGCCCACAGCAGCGGCCAGCCCATCCTCTGATGAAATTGCAGAGGCAAAGCTATGCTTTGCTTCATGCCATACCAGAGGTCCAGGCAGTAATGAGCTGAGAGCTTCTGCTGAGTACTCTCAGCTAATCACTGTCCCAATCCCTGGTATGGATTGGTATGGTGCAAGGTGGTAGCCATAACTGCACCTCCGCAATATCGTAACAGGAGGCTAAGCTGCAGGGAACCAATTATTTCTAAACAGTGAGTAAATCAGCAGTGTTGCGGAACCCTTTGCCCATGGACACCAGACACCATAACCACATTAGTCAGTCTTTAAACATCCAATTTATGAATAGGTATTTTTGTTTCTGCTATAAAGATGCTGATCAGGGTTATAATAAGTAGGGAGGGAGGGGCACATACATGGAAACATTAAAAGGAACACTCCATTGCCCAATTTCAAATATAAAAATCACGGTTTAGAAGGTATGCAACAAATAAAAAAAACAAACATGCATACATTTAATTATGCTTCTTTTTCCCCATTAAAAGGTATTTCTAAAAACAGCTTGCAAAAACTGTTGATCTCTTTCCTGAGGCCTTTGCACGCCCCACCGCCCTTCTTCCCCACCACAGACTTTCTGTAGCTGTTCAATCACAGACTTCCTAGCAGCCCAGTGAGAAATCTTTGCAAGACAAGTGCTTGTAGCAATTGTATTCCTCTTAATTTTAGCTCCATTGAGCTAACCAAACCAGGAAGTAACAGGACTGGTTGTTTGATTGACAGCAAGGTCGGTGTAACAAGGTAAGTTTATAAAAGTGCCAATAGCTACTTCTAAAAAAAAAAAAAATCAAGCTGAAGTGTTTTGGGGGTCTGAAGTGTCCCTTTAAAGTCTATCCCAATAAAGCTTAAACGGACACTTCAGACCCCAAAAGGGACACTATAGTCACCTGAACAACTTCAGCTTACTGAGGTTGTTCAGGTGAGAACTATAGCTCCCTGCAGCCTTTCTCATGTAAACACTGTATTTTCTGAGAAAATACAGTGTTTACATTGAAAGCTAATAACACCTCCAGTTGCAGTCACAGTGAACCAGAGGGACTTTGGTATGCCTCCATCCACTCAGATCTGCTGTGCACGAGCATCCTGTGATTCAGTATCTCCTCCCACTGCATGCAGACACTGAACTTTACTCATAGAGATTCATTGATTCAATTCATCTCTATGAGGATATGCTGATTGGCCAGGGCTGTGTTTGACTCATTCTGGCTCTGCCCCTGATCTGCCTCCTTGTCAGTCTCAGCCAATCCTATGGGGAAGCACTGTGATTGGATCAGGCTACTACTTCTGATGATGTCAGCAGACTTTTTTTTTTTTTTTTTTTTTAGGCAAACAGCATGCAGAGTTACAGCTTCTGGCTTGAATACAGTAAGACTTTTACTCTATTTATGGAGGCAAGAGGGGCCCAGGGGGGCTAGATGGTGGTGTTAACACTATATGGTCAAGAATACATGTAGTTGCACTGGTGACTATAGTGTCCCTTTAAAGCTTGCTTAAGTGCTTTGGGTGTTAAGAAGTTTGTTTTTTTTGTCACTCTACAAAAACAAACAACAACAACAACAAAAAAAGGTGCAGCTTTCAACAGAAACGGACACTTTTATAAATTAACCTTATTACACCACCAAACCCTCCCATTCTGGCTGTCCTGTTAATTCCTGGTCTGGTTGTTTAGCTCAGCGAAAATAAACTCAAGAGGCAGGCAATTGTCCAGAGCATCCACTTCATACTAAATTATCATCCATTAAAAAAAAAAAAAAACCATAAAAACCTTCCTCCCCCAAACACTAAATAACATTTTATACATTTAAAAAAAATAATAATGCATAGATCAAGTAGAATTTTACAGAAAAAACAACCTAACTTTGTTCACACTATCCAAATTAAAGACATGCTATGTACTTTTCAATGAGTATAACTGACAAGACAATTTTAAACAAATTAACAGATGCACTGAAAATATTTTTAAATAAGAAGCAGTGTAATATGAACACTATGGTGCAGCTACACAACACCAATGAAGGTAACCACCACACCTATACAAATTATAAATAATAATAATAACCAAAAGGTGCTAGTGCACACTGTGGAACATCTAATAATAAAATAAATATGTATAGTTACAATGGGAGATGAACATTTTTTTTATTTACCCAAAATGTTAATATCCAAGTGGTTCCGTGTGGAATTACTCAGCAGCTCCCGTAGAAATGAGGTCAAATAATTAAATACATTTTTGTGATGGAAAGGTAAAGATGAAATCACCTGCAAAACAAGAAAAATATGTTAATGTGGTCAATTTATTGTTACCAATTGTATGCAGTATTTCATCAGTATAGAAGCAAACGCTTAAATGCACACCATAAAATGACAAATTGTGGAAAGAAAGCAAAATTCATAGGAGTTGCATACAAAGAATTGTATATGAATCTAACAGTGGGCTTTTAGAACTTTGCCCTGAATCCTTTTTAATACAGAACATAAAATGAAAGAATATTCAGTGACTTGTGAAATTCATAAAATTGAATTTGTCGTGGGTATTGCTATTTTGTTGGTGATTTTCTTTAAGGCTAAAATTGAAATTAACATAATTTGAAATGATCAGATATTGCAGAACAGAGCACATGATGAGGATATCAGTAGTGATGAAATCAAGAGATCCTGATAGCATTGTTGGTTTAGTTAAAAGGAAAATATCTGTAGTTAACCCCTTCATAAAACACTTGGACAAATCCCATTTAATTCTGAAAGTCTTGGCAAGCTTTTGATCATAAATAGGGGAGGGTTGCAGACAATGGTTATTTAGAGTTTATTCATGGAAATTATCTATTATTGTGGATTTTGTGTTTTTTAGATGGTGATAAATCACAAAATTAAAGGAACACTCCACGCATAATCTGGATTGCTCTTTAGAGCAAAGCAGGACCACACTCATTGGCTGAGAATATGAGCTAAACACTCTCAGCCGAGGAGCACAGTCACAGTCCCTTGTTGGCTATGACCGGGTGCAGTGGATGTGAAGCAGTAGCCCAGCAGTGCTAAAATGGTGCCGGGAGGAGGGGGGGGGGCGGGGCCTAGCGGCCGATCTGGGCATCTCTGGCATCATAACCACTTCAACATGCTGTAATGTAATGTGTGCTTACCATGGATAATTATATAAATTAATTGTATCAACAGTAGCACAGATAATACACACACAAAAATCCTCGTGAATAATAACAATCTTAATAATAAGACCTGACAGAATGTTTCTCAGATTTAATATATACTATGGTATTTTCACATTTTTATCACTCTAATCCAGGTATAGGCAACCTTTGACATGACAGATGTTGTGAACTACATCTCCCATAATTCTCATACAGCTATAATGCTGCTAAGCATCGGAGGAGGTGTAGTCCGCATCTGTAATGCAGAAGATTGCCTACCCCTGCTTTACTTAAAGGGTTAACAATTCCAACCAAAAAACATTTTTGGTTGAAGTAATCATTGCTGACATGATCTTCCAACCCTAAACAATAAAAATTAAAAGAAGCCAAATTCTGATGGCCAATCCTTGTTTAGTGGACAACACCAGATATATCCACCCCCCACATACTATAAGCAACCCACATACACCCATCATACACACACAGCCCCACACATTCATAACACAACAGGCAAGCCACATACAAATATAATATTACAGACAGCCCACATCATACAAAAATATTACAACTAACCCACATACACTCACTTAACATCACAGACAGCACACACAAAACCTCAGAAAGTACACACACTGTTAAAAAAACCAACCTACATACACACGCAACATCACAGACAGTCCCCACTACACACAAATACTGCAAACAACTCACATATACACACACAAAATATACACAATCATCAGGCAGCCCCCACACACAGAAAAACAAATGCAATGAACAGCCCACATACACATTCATAAATACCAAAGACAGCCAAACATTCATGAATAACACAAGCAAAACACTCCTGTGCATAACAAGCAGTTTACACACTCCCTACCACAAAGGAGAATGCTATGTGCAACACTACACACAGCCCATATATTCACTCACATAACACCACAGTCATCCCACACACAGTGGCACAACAAAGTATATGAACCCTCTGGAATTAGTTTGTTTTCTGTATGGATTGGTCATAACATTTTATTTTCATCAAAGTCACAAGTATAAACAAACATTTCCTCAAGCCAACAAAACACAAACAATTATAATCATTCATGTTTTATTGAACACATCCCATTAAACAATCACAGTGCTGAGAAAAAAAGCAAATAAACACTTCAATTTGACAGAGAATAGATCATCCATTGGCAATAGTAACCTCAACCAAACACTTTTGGTATTGGAGGATTAAACCTGCACAAACTTCCTTTATTCAAAAGGCAATGGTGTTTTTTTTGAAACGCTTGCCTGTTCAATGTTCTTCATATTGTAGATTCATTAACAGTGATGTTAACCAATTCCAACAATTTCTTTAAATCTTTAGCTGTCACTCTATGTTTCCGTTTCATCTCAATGAGAATTGTGTTGTATGCATTTTCAGTCATCTGGGCTGAACGGCCCACACCTCCAATCTCATTTCATTAATTCAACACCAGGTTTGTCAATTTTGAAATCTATTTAGCTTTCAAGTCATTAGCCATACTTTTTCCAACCTACATTGTGAAACTCCGAATGATATATTCAATACACACAAGAATTACTTTAACTTACATGAACATCAAACACGATTTTAAGAACCATTTATACATAAATGCAATACCTTCTAAAGGGTTCATATAACTTTCTTGCCACTGTACATAACACACACACACACAATACATATATTTCGCAAACATACAACGCAAAATGATCTGCCACACCCATACATAACACAAGCTGAATTCCTCACATTTTTAACAAATAAAATAGGACCGGCTCGACGAAGGGACTTTACTTTGGTACAGCGCTACCAAAATGTTGCTTACCCCTGCTTTAATACATTCCAGAGAGCTGCAATTGATTATAGTGTAAAAGAAATGCATAGTCCATTTATATCAGATAAAATACACAATATGAATTACTGGAGTTCTGTTTATTGACTTTTTACAAGTTTATGACAGATGAGATTTGGATTCTCATTTGAGTTTACTTATTAAACCATGGGCCCTCATATATAATCACAGTACAATCTTTCTAGACACCAGGTTTTCACATGACCAAAAATAAAATGGACTCATTCTCACTGTTTCAGGTGATTTACTCAACAGTGAATTCTGAGGACTGTGTGGAAATACAACTTTGCGATACAAAGTCTACACAGACGTTTTGTTTTGCCAGTTTTAGAAGATATAAAGGGTTATTGAAATGTATTTCACTGAAGTTTAGTGAATAATAAGAATAGATTTTTTTAGTTTTCATAGTCAAATAATTGAGAATGCCCGCTTACCTCTTTGCTGTTGGGATAATCTCCAGCACACTCCAGGCATTGGTCATAAGATTGGTAACAGATCACTGGCTCAGGAAGCGCCTCAAGGAATAGCAGCAAGGCTTCGACAACAGAATGGTTGGATCCAGCTAGTCAGAGTACTAAGGAATATGTTTTCTGACACCGTGCTCCACAATATATTATCTCTTTATAAACCACAATAATAATATGCCATCAAAATACCGATCATTTTGCACACTTCCACATGCTACCAATTAAGCATGTAAAAATCATGGGTTTAACATCGATATGTAAAATGGCTTTGTCCCGGTCTGTAGTCTTTGCATAATTTGCAAAGAACCTGGACGGTGACATTGCCGCTGGTTGTCCGGTAGCTTGGGGATGCAGGGGAAAGAGTTATACTTACCCTAACATGTCCCTTGCAGTCACTGCCATGCCCTTCCATCTTTTTCAGCTCCTGGTGGTGCTTTAGCTGCCAGACGCCAGTACAACCAGTAGTGTATTTTGGATTTGTGCTTCCTGTTAAGGCCGCACTTTGACTGACAGACACTTTCTTACAGATGCATTCACTGATATACACTCACTAAAAGAAACAAACAGTCATTGGCACACGTACTGTTTAACCAACACACACTTTCACTGACAGACACACACACACATATACATATACATACATATACACACTCACATATATACACACACACACAATATTGTCCAATGCTTGCACTCCTGTAAGATAATCTATATGGCCCGGTGCTTGTCGGCACAAGTAATAGGTAGAAAATAGTGAAAAGCACTCCAGGGACTTTATATAAGGTGAAAAAAAGAACTTAGCTTTATTCGGCAACTGCCAGAAGTGATCAACGTTTCAGCTCACACATGGAGCTTTCGTCAGGATGACGAAAGCTCCATGTGTGAGCTGAAACGTTGATCACTTCTGGCAGTTGCCGAATAAAGCTAAGTTCTTTTTTTCACCTTATATAAAGTCCCTGGAGTGCTTTTCACTATTTTCTACCTATATATATATATATATATATATATATATATATATATATATATATATATATATATATATATATATATATATATATACACACATACATACATACATACATACACACACACTGACAAACAAAGATATACACACTCACTGATTTGACACACTGACAGACACACACTCAAACACTCACTGATTTGACACACTGACAGACACATACTATTATTCAGGCACACACTGACAGATGCACACTCACTAACAGATGCACACACTGACAAACGCACATAGTTACATGCTGAAAAGAGACTTGCGTCCATCAAGTTCAGCCTTCCTCACATATGGTTTTGCTGTTGATCCAAAAAAAGCAAAAAACCCAGTCTGTAGCGCTTCCAATTTTGCAACAAACTAGGAAAAAATTCCTTCTTAACACCAAAATAGCAGTCAATACTCACTGACAGATGAATACACTTACTGCCAGACACACTCACTGACAGACAGACACTCATTTCCCCCAACACTCTTAAATTATTATTATTTTTAATTTTTTTTAATTTACATCCACCCAGCTTCCCTATTGAAGACTAAAACTCTTATCAGACTCAACCATGAGGAGGATTGGCATAATATTAGACATATGCTGCTTGGAAAATTATTGACTCACTATCCATTACATCATATACATTTTAACTTCCATAAATCTCAACTAGAAGCTTACTGAGCATGATAGGAATTACGTTTTCCAATCTTCTCTGGCCTGCATTCCAGATATAGAGATACTGCTCCAATATGTATAGCTGCAGGGATGCTCTGTGACAACATAAATAGGGAGAATTTATTCTCTGGATTGAAACATTTTAAAAATAAAAAGGCGCAGCAGAGCAAGTTGTAATAGTGCTTTGAGTACACGTTAATTATTTTTAGACAGATACAAAAACAAATCTCAGTATTTCGTGCTGTTGCTGGATATATTTGATAGTAACCCAAAAACTCTTGTTGTGTAGCGCTATATTTACAGATAAAGGGTAGTAATAGAAAACTTGGTATACAACAATACTACCTTGAATATTCTTTATGTCTTTATATTCACATAAGAGTATAAATTCTACAAGACATAAAAAACAGACAAACCAAACATAGTGCAAACTGTATAATAAAGTCCGTTATAGAGTAATTATAGTAGTAATTTTATTGTAACGATAAATGTATAAAAATATATATATATATATATAAAACAATAAAAAGCAATATCAAATTGGCATAAAATCCAAAAGTCCAATAGTCTCACAGTCTCTCCAGACTGTGAGACTATTGGATTTTATGCCAATTTGATATATATATATATATATATATATATATA